GAAACAATCGAATTGCACGTTCCACTAATAGGGCAAGAGGATTGGCTGACTTTTGAACTGCGTTCTTGTTTAAATATCTTTTCGTTCGTTTGCACCGGAGTCACGTAAATCTCACCGAAATTGTGGCTGTCCCGAGGCGCACGTTGAAACCGAGAAAACGAGGATATAACGCAGAGCTGTTTAATTACCGCGAAATAATGTCGCGCACTTACTAAAGCTTGCAATTGGACCAGCGTCCCATATTTTTTATTTTGTTCCTTATTCTCTGTGCAATTAATTGAAACGGAAGGTTTCTCACAATGAAATGAATGTTACTTGTTCGTTAATTATTCAACGATGTCGCAAAACGCGAATGTCCACATCGTGTTAAAAAGTTCCTCGAAACTGAATTTTTAGAGATTTTTGTCGATTGATTGTTTGTAATCATTTCAATGCTACAAAATTTAGTAATATAAAATTGTTTGTCTATAGCGATGGCATTTATTATTATTAATTTTGCTCTTTACGAAATCTATTAATTTATGATGCTCATGTCAGTTATTTTACACTAACGAAAAATTTTTTACATCCTCCTAGAATAGTTCATAGATAAGTACAGTAATTTATATATTATTAGATACATTTCGGGATAAAATGATATTCTTTTTATTAAACAAATTATATACAATATTTGTTCATATTTGTTCTTTTGTAGTGCTTCTATCAATATGTATAAGTAACTTAAATTAACTTTTTGCAATAAATTTTGTGTTATTGATATTAATATTAACATTAATTAATAATTAATATTTATATTAAAATTGATATCAAACAGCGTCTATTTACAATACAATAATATAAGAAAGTGTAGAGTATATATTTGTGTATATTACATACTTGCATTACGATAGATAATATAAGTAGACTTTTCTTTATGCGAATTTGAATTTCTAAGAATATAATAAAAGAAATAGAATTTCGATAGGAAATTTTATTGTATGCTACAAATATAATAAAGAACCCTTTTTTGGATGTTTTATGTACGTATTTCTTCATATCGTACGTGTCATTTTACTTTGTATTTTATATTCCCTGCCACGGATTAGCAATGAAATTAAATCAAGTAAAAAAATTCCAAACATCAAGCAACGTAGAATCTACATTTATTATATTTTACTCCCAACGATCGATATCAGACGATTAATGTCAGACTGACACGACAATATTAATGGTACCAATTAGAAAATAAAAAAAAAAAAAAAAAAATTTCTCATCGGGGAAGCAACAAAATTCCACGATTTTTTTTTTTCGAACCACGTCGGAGGCAAGAACAGCACCGGTTTTGCTCGGTTCGCTGTTCGAGACTTGGCGTCGTCGCCGCGCTTAATTAGACCATTTAATTACGATTTACGCGTTATCGTCGACTGGTAATGCGTGTATTGTCCGCGTCGAACAATCCTGCTAATAGGACAGCCGTTAATTGATGGTCTTCGTGCGTTCTGTTAAACAACCGGCAGCCGTTGTCGACGTTCGTGCAAAAATTATCCGCAAGGACGGATCGTAATCCGCGTCGATGTTCGATCGTGGCGGCCACCCTCTCTGATCGCCGAGGCGTGCACTGGCGCCTCTATGAATCCGCGAAATCCATGAAATTCCACGCACGCACGCATCGTGTCTTAATTATCAAACGATTCCGCTTTGATCGATCATGCCGATGACGGAATACCGATTTCTCTGTTTGGCCTGATTGCGGCAATTGGCCGATCTTGATCCGGCCGCGTAGCGAATTTCCATTCATATCGACGACGATCGACGAACGGGATTGTTTCATGGAGCGGCAGAGCAATGGAGTTAAATAATTCACGGTGGATTTAAATAATTTATCGCGGTTAACTTTCTTCCTGGAAAATTTCTTTTCAACAGACTTGATGAAACGATGCTCTCGTAAATTGATAATAATGAATGGGCTCGAGTGATCGAATCTCGAACGTATTTCCTTTGCGATTTATATAACTATTTATCGTGTCTCCTTGTGATGAATATAGTTACGAAAATAAAGTTTTTTTTTTCTTTTCAGAACGCTGAATATTAATTATATGTTCTAACGACGTGAAATTGATATGAAGGGTTCAATTTGATTTCTGAAAAGTGCACGCGTACATTGGTAAGATGGACGAGTTAATTGGTTCCTTTAGTATATTCGAAATTTTATAATTTGAGCTGTTTGACATCATACGTATTTTATCGTTTCAATATCTCCATAGAGAATATAATCCATCAAATGGAATATGAAAAGCCGACGACTTTCACTCTTAATCTACGATGCAAATATATACATCTTACAATATTGCAATGATGCACGAATGACATCCATCTTGAACATCCATCGTGTTAATGTATGCATCGTAAATATAAGTGAAATCTGAATATTTAAATTCATATTGATACTTGATAATTGAATATTTGTATAAATTATTTTATGTAATTATTCACCATTTCCTAGAATGTAATCTAGACGTAAGTATCTGCAATCTGAAGATCCCCTTTGATCCGAAAATTGTTGAAATCGCCATCCATAATTGGAAACTTTCGATTTTCGCGGGAAACTTTCAATGGCTCGTTTTTTTTACAATGTAAGGATGAAGCTCGTAGAGATAATAGTTTCAAGCATACGCGAGAGTTAACGATAATCGGTAATCTCACGACTTTTGAAGTCATCGAGATCGATATCTGTAATCCGATGTCATCGTCGCGGGTTCGTACAGCCGAAAGGGTCGTCACTATAGATTTCTACGACCGTGGAGATCGTTGAAATTGGCTTCTCCACCATGCTGAAGCCGTCGAGATTGCTTTCTAGCGGTGGCAGTCATTCTTATTGGATTTCCATGATCTCCAGTGTCACAAAATTCGCTCCCTGCGCACGATATCCTGTCGCTAGGCGACGACCAAGTATTATGGAGAACGTTATGAAACTTAGAAAAATGAGCCGAAGAATTCTTACAAAAAGTCAGATGCAACTTTGTACTTTTTATTAGCTTGTTTTATGTGGTTGAAATTTTAAATTGGAAATCGGACTTCATCCTCGTAAGTTCCGTAGCTTCTCGTTTTTCAAATGCGAAAAGGAACTTTTAAGAATTTATCAATTGATAATATGAAATTATTGTACTGTCAATTTAGAATTTCAACGTTTATAAAATTATTTGCCTATCACATGTAATTCTTCTACCTTTCGAACGCAAAAGTAGCAAGGATATCCTTCAACAACAATAACCACACGTTTGAAAATCAAAATTATTGGCCAAACGTGCACTTAATTCACATATGAATTGCATCGTCACGTTTTTGTCATTTCTCGCTGAAAGATCGAAGAGCAACCTGCGCAATGTAATCAAAAAAAAAAAAAAAAAAAA